TCAATTTAGCAAATTGATTCTATTTTGTACTGCCCTAGAAATTATAACTGATAAATAATATTCTGTATTTCATGCAGTCTCAAGTTCTCTGCCTGTGAAATTCTCCTTGACAATTTTAAGGTTCAGGACAAAGATATACATAAGCAGCCACTATGCATTGGAAACACTGTCCTTCAGAAAGAGGGCAAGAAGATAAAATGATTAACAAATGACTACACTGGAAAAAAATAAAGTTGTTTTAAGTACAGTGACCCTCACTCAAATCTATTATAATAGATCTGTCTTTCATGTTTACCTTGGTAAATAGTTACCACTTTTTACTTTTTTTCTTTTAAATTTGTTTTAGAGCAGTGGTTCTCAACCTGTGGGTCGGGACCCCGTTTGGGGTCGAACGACCATTTCATGGGGGTTGCCAAACAACGCAGTCCGCCATTTTTTCCCCCTTTTCCTTAGCTGTGCTACTCCCTTTAGAATAAGAATAGAGTCTAATTCTATTGGCTTTCAAAAGCCAATAGGAATTGTCCAGGCTGTCTCTGCCCTGCTGAGCCCGCCAAAAGTCCCATTCTGCAACGGTGCTGCACCAGTTGAGTAGTCCTCGACTTAGGACCGGTTGAGTAGTCCTCGACTTACGACCGGTTGGGGGTCGTGGCATTAAAAAGGTTGAGAACCACTGTTTTAGAGCTTTTTGAGATTTATTCTAAATGATATTGAAATACAAAGCACGTGGATATTTCTCCACTGATATCTAATTCCATATTTCATCACTTCAGAGGCCTTCACCAAATAAAATACTTATGCAATCTGGTTATTTTTCCTAACGTCATCCAGTATGTGTGTGGGCATGCCATGATTTTAACCCATGATTTTAGAATGCCAAGGTATAGCTTGAAATTAAATGCATATCTTCAAAATGAAAGTAATTATCCATGATAACTGAATTAGGACACAATCCTTTACATTTAGTAGACATTTCTGGTTAAGAATGCTTAACAGTGTAAAAATAAAAATTAATTGGATTACACACTGATGCCAAATTTGCAATGTAAAGTTTAAAAGTGGAGACGGTTTGTTGCCACACATTTGTTGATATAACAGACCAGGGTAGCATTGTCTGATACAAACTGGACAATTTGATATAGGAATAGGTCCTGCAAGATACAAAGTGCTTCCCAGACTGGTAATAGCTTCAGTCTATTCATGTGTTATGAATGCCTCCAATATGAATCAAGCATAGAGGACTAAGAGCATTCCTCATCTGCAAAAGAATCAAAGATGCAGTCTCAATTCAAACCATGGGCATGTCAATAGTCAGGAAAAAAAAAACTGTGGAAGAAAAACAAAAGTAGCTTCTGGAGAGGTTTCCAGCAGTGATTTTTCAGCAGACCCACAGATATGCAGTGAGAGATGACGCAGAACTAAAGGATCTGAACATGTTGGATAAAGTGAAATGGAATAAAGTTAAGAAAAAAGATAACTTCTGATGAGCTCCAAGAACAAATGTTTGATCTGTGTGAAGGAATTCATGCCAGTGATTTTGTTATTCTTGGGGAAGATCTCTTTAGAAAATTTAGAATGAGCTTTGTATACAACTCATATGTATAAACCACAGAAAGCATGATTATCTTTATTTACAGACAACAGTTTTTAAACAAACATATAAAAAATAGAATGAAGATCTAAAGTTTAGATAAAATAGGATATGTATTTGATAAAACACCACTAAAATATGAAGTAACAGATAATAATAATAATAATAATAATAATCGCTATTAGTCAATTGCAAAAGGTGGCCTTATTAGGAACTGCTTCCATCCTGCGACGATATGTGTAATGCCATCAAACATCCACATCTGCCTATCCCAGGTCCTGGGTAAGGACTCAATAGGTAGACAAAATGCCAAATCCAGTCTGAAAATCTGGCTGACTGTGCAATGATCAATAACAACAACAATAATAATAATGTTGGAAGGGACTTTGGAGGTCATCTAGTCCAACCCCCTGCTCAGGCAGGAAGCCCTATACCATTTCAGACAAATAGCTGTCCAGTCTCTTCTTAAAAACTTCCAGTGTTGGAGCATTCACAACTTCTGGAGGCAGGTTGTTCCACTGATTAATTGTTCTAACTGTCAGGAAATTTCTCCTTAGTTCTAGGCTACTTCTGTCCTTGATTAGTTTCCATCCGTTGCTTCTTGTCCTGTCTTCAGGAGCTTTGGAGAATAGCTTGACACCCTCTTCTTTGTGGCAACCCCTTAGGTATTGGAACACTGCTATCGTGTCCCCCCTCGTCCTTCTCTTCATTAAACTAGGCATACCCAATTCCAGCAATTGTTCCTTATATGTTTTAGCTTCCAGTCCCCTAATCAAAGGTAACTGAGCAAAATTTGATTACCTTTCGGGAAGCTAGGAAAGAGCTGTTATTTAAAAGGAAGGATTTTCTTCTGAAATATCATGGTAAGTGCTTAGAAGGAGCAATAACAGGGCTGTCCACAAACTGTACCAAAAGGATATAATGGGAGTATGTATGGGAGTAAGCCCTTTTTGAGGCCAAGGGGATATTTTGGGTCAAATATATGCATTATTATGTAGTTATCCTGTAAGATGAGGGAAGCTACAGTTTTCAATAAAGACTAAGACTAACGTAAACCAGAATTCGAAGTGCCCGAGATTCATGTAAGCCTCTGAGTCCAGTTACTAAATATGAGAAAAAAAGGGAGACATTCCTGGATTCAAAACATCATAATGAGAATTGCCTGTAACAGTTTTATAAGCTAGCCTATAATTTAGAAACAAATGATTCTGACATATCTAAGTGATTCTGAAATATCTAAGAAAGCAAGCTAAACTACTGAAAACAATGTGCATCCAGATTAAGTGCACTAACCTAGTGGACAAAGACCATGTCTTACAAGTAAAAATAATTATGCATCATACCTGATCCAAATACTTATATATCATTTATTCAGTTTTATAAAGTGAAGAATAGAAGATAAAGCAAGTGACAAAATGTAGTTTCACCTTTGCTTTCACATTATTTTGATGCACAATTCATTCACTTCTAATTCTGGCATAACAAAAACATTGAAAGAAACGACCTAAACTCTGTATACATAGTATTCATTAAAAAGCTTTGACTTTGAATATGTGTTTAAAGTTTTCCTATCTTGGACCTGAATCATGAAACATTTAAAAGACTTCCAAGTTGCTTTGTTAATGTCTAAATACAGATGTTATAACAATAATATATATAGTGTATGAGATCAAATATAAAAACTAAGTTTAATTTTTAAAGGTTATCATGTAGTAACTTCCATTCTGCTTGACTGTCAGTGAAACATTTTAAAATGAATTCAAGGCATAGGTTAAATCAACATTTTTACTCTCAGTCTGGTGGGAATGGAGAAAGACTATTAATTTCCTTACCTAAGAGTGGAAGAGTTCAAAATACGTTTTTTTTTAAAAGTCAGTGATTGAAAATGTATGAGTAAGTTTCTGGTTTTTATCCAAGGTGGCATTAAAAACAATCTAAAAGAGCATTATTTGAAGAGGTGCCATTGATTACTTGGATAAGTCTTATTATACTGGAATTTTTCTCTTTAACTATATAAAACATCTATTAGGGGAAAACACTGGAGAACATCAGTGTTGGCATCAAAGTAAATGGTATTGGATCAACAATTTAAGATATGCTGACAATATAAGTAAGCATGAAGGCCTTCAGCTCATCAACAGTCACAGAAATATCTGAAAAATACGGCTTTAAGTCTAACTCCTCAAAAACCAATATCATGGTCATCAGCAAACAACCCGTTACTTTATCAATAAATTTGGAAGGAATACCATTACAAAAAGTTGAAAAGATCACGCACTTCAGTTCTAATTTACATGAAAGCTGGAACATGACGACTGAAATAAAGAAATAAAGACAAGGTTAGAGAAAGCTCGAACAGCATTCTTCAAAATGAAAAAGGTCTTCTGTAGTCACGACATAAGCCTAAGATTGAAAATCAGGCTTGTCTAGATTTGTATTTTTTCTATCCTGCTCTATGGAGTAGAGAGTTGGTCTCTGACAGAAGGCCACCTGAAGAGACTAGAAGCATTTGAAATGTGGATTTACAGGCGGCTGTTACGTATAAGCTGGGTTGACAAGATCAGAAATGAGGAGGTGATAAGCCACCTGCGAAAGCCAAAGGAAATCATCAAAACAATTAAAAAATGAAAGTTAGAATATTTCGGACATGTGATATGATGCCCAGAAAAATATGGCATACTCCATTTAATCCTCCAGGGAAAGATTGAAGGCAAACGAGGTCCAGGCAGAAGAAGAACATCATGGCTTCAAAATCTAAGGGACTGGTTTGGACAAAACTCAGCAGCATTTTTTTGTGCGGCTGCTGATAAAAACAGGTATTGCCAACATCATCGCCAACGTCCGATAATGGATATGGCACAAGAAGATGATGATGAGGGGAATAAACCTTTCAAAAAACAAAGAATAACACCATGCCTGCTATTTCTTTATCACACGCACAAATGTACTTAAAAGCGTTCTTAAAAATAGTTTGCACGATAGGACAGATTGCTGGTGAAATATTAAATTCTAGATAATGTTGATGAGAATAGTATTTTTTTGGAATGTGATGTGTTTTGTATCTTTTCTTTATGCTGATAAATATTATTTATACCATATCCCCCATACCATACCATACCACATACCACACCATACTCTACACCCTCATCCCACCCCCAATACCATTCTTTCAAAACAAATCTTGACAAGCAATTTAAGGTTGTAGATAATTAAAAAAAACTAATTATTTCAGACTTTTAATTTTTCATATTTTATTAAAAATATTATTCATACCTATATCAATTCACTTATCTTTTGCATAGAAGTTACTCTGTGTAAGTCATTAACAAATATATGTAGAATGTGCTGTTTAAATATCATTTATTTTAAAAAAGAAATTTAGTTTCTGTTAAAAACTATTTTTCACTGCATATTTTACTTTTCATTATTTTGCTTTTATTTGAAACAAAAGATTGATGATTTATTTATAAAACTTATAAGGCCATCTTTCTTATACATAAAAATTCTAGGTGACTCACAGTAATATTTAATACAACATAAATAAAACCAACCAAACCCCACACCACCATATAGTCCAAGCACAAGGCTGCAATATGTCATAAACCTACATTGGCTGGGCTCATTTCTATCCTAGTCTGAAGTCTGAGTGAAGAGTAGGTGCTCACTGCCCTTCAGAAGCTAAAGTGTGGGGGCCCTCCAAATCTCAAGGGGCAGGTTGTTCCCAAGGGTCAGGGCAGCCACTGGAAAAGCGTGTCTTAAAAGGTCCCACAAAAGGTAACATTTAAGGAAAGGGATCTAGACCAACCATGTTATCGGATCTGGCAGGATGGACAGAAACCTTGAGGTGGTCCTGCAGCTATTTAAAGCTGGCAAGTAGTAACCAACATTGAACTGCACCTAAAAAACAATTAAAAGCTAGTACAGCTTGTGCAGCAATGGTTGAACATAGGCAAACCTTGAAGCACACACTGCTGCATGCTGGACCAGTTGTAACTTTTGGATTATCTTCAAGGGCAGGCCCATGTAGAGCACACTGCAGTAATCCAACAGACAGGTGATCAAGACATGACTGACAGTGAGCAAGGCCTCCTGGTCCAGAAAACATATGATAACAAATGTTTACATAACACAGGAAAAAAATCAAACAAATAAGAATTTCCAACATTAAGATTGAGCTGATGATAGAAATTGATCTTTTCTATATTTAGCTTTGTTTTGTTTATTCACAGTGATCCCAACCTCTTTAGTATTTATTGCTTATACAATAAGTTGATAAGGTACTAAGATTTAGATACAAGTTCATGATTTCCCACATTCTATTTATGCAAACATGTATTTTTGCAATTTGCTTTAAGTTCAAACATGAAGTAACACATATATAATAATGCAAAAGTTCAGTTAGTTTTGCAACAAAAATTAGGCAGTAATTAAAATGTATATGTGAGCTCAACTGGAGCTATGTTTTTTTGGTTTACATTTGCTATATGGAAAGGCTGGTTGAATGAGATTCCTTTCATCATGCAGGCATTACTATCCTTGCTACAGTAATAGAGGCACACATTGATTGACAATAAAGCTTCAGCTGACAGGCAGTTAGTGGGTAACTGAAATGGGATTATAGGCTGTTCAAATATGTCTGCAATTGTCCCAGATATGTGTGGATCACAAAGTAGCCATTCATTACCTAGAAAAGAAAAGGTAGTCTGTTACGATTTGATGATTTTATCTAATCATAAAACATTATTATTATGGCTTGTACTAAAATAATTATGGAAGAACTAGTAGAAGACTTTCACAGGGCAGAATCAGATTAATGCAGGAACTAAATCACAATATTTGAAATGCAAACTGAAATATATAATTATTCAAGTGCTCTATATGCAAATAAAGAACTCCGTATTTATGTACAGGTCATTTTTTTTTATTTAACTCTTTTCTATTACAGACATATCAAACTCGCGACATCACATGACGTCACGCAACGTATCGGGAGAGTTTTGCCATTGCTGGCAATGGGGTGGGTGCCGCTTCCACATCATGCGTCTGGCCCATGGGGCGGCAGTTTAACACCCTTGCCCTAGAAGGAGCCTCTTTGTGAATGAGACAAACATTTCACTAATTTAACCTGCTCCATTATTTCCAGTTGAGTAAAGGATTATAATGAAATGTAGGCCATATAAATTGTTATAATAAAATGATTTAATTATGGGCTGTACATTTAATTTAAAATTGCTATTAGAAACTCAGGAATAGGTTTAAATGAAAACTCTGTAAAATAATAAGGATATATCTGCTCTACCATCTAAGTCAATGTATTTGAAATCAGACAAACAGATTTAGCATACTGTATATTCCCTATAAACAGAAACACTGACTTTTTTTACCTTCTGCAGTAAAAAACCAGGAGCTAGGTGCTTCTTCAGTCAGGTTAGTATTTGGAGGCAAGTTGAGCATCAGCACAAACTGAAGTGCTTGGCCTGGACTTACAGTCAATGAAGGTAGCTGAAAATGTGGAGCCGATTTAGGGAGCTTTGGTAGTTCTGCTTTATCACTCATTTTAACACTCCCTCTATTTATAGTGTCTACTGTGTCAACATGCAGAAGAGGAAGCTATCAAAGGAATAGAAAGCATGTTAATTTTTGAGATATAATTTCATATTCTAAAGTTTGAAAAAACAAAGGTCACTTTCAGACAGATTCAGATGGATTTCCAGAGCAAGTATTGCAAACACAATTACAGCAAAGACTGAGGAACTGATGCATGGGCTGGTTCCTTGGAACCTTTACAGATAAAGAAAGGATGGGAAATCCCCTATGGTCCAAATGGCTGCTCCTAATGAGGCAATGCAGGACAGTGGTGATGACTGTGATCTGGAATGTTCTCCCCACTATGGTGATACATTTTAGATCCCTGTTGATAAGTCTCCAATTTCTGAAGGCCTTCTTGGTATGAATGATGAAAAAAAAAAGCTTCTTCCCCTTTTTCTCATTTTTTAATGAACATATTTTGGGTTGAATAAAATTTACTATATGTATTTATTTATTTATGAGACTTATATACTGCTTTAAGTGCAAGCACTCTATGTATATGTATATTAGTTTATGCTGTTGTAATACAGAATTTTATTATGTACTCATTTATGTTTTTATTGTAAATTGCTTCAAGATGCTTTGGCACTAGAAGGCCTATTCAAATACATATAAGTAAATTACTTTTAAAAATTGATTTCAATGCAAAACTCATTAAATTCAGTGCTGGTTAGTCCAGATTCCATGAACAGGAAATTGTGATATTATATATATTAAGTTTGTACAGATGGATAATGTATATCCAACTCCTTTTGAACAGGTGGGGCTGTTGCCTTTTATTGTCACTTGAGTTAATTTTCTCAGTTCTTGTAAAACAGAATTTAAATCAAATATAAACAAACCCCCTATATACACAGTGGTATTATATTCAAAACTGGAGGCCTAATATATCACAGGATGCAGAAGAGACTCCCTATTGAAAAGAATTATGCCTGGAATTAGGCTGTTTATTTGTTCAGTAAGCACTATGATCATTCCCTCTACTTTTGCAAGTTCAAATTTTAAATTGTCTGAATAACTATAGAAACATACAAAAGTAAAACAATTTGTGTTATTTATGGTTAGGAAGAAATCCCTTCAATTAATGATCATGCTTTACAGAAGATGTTTGGTATATATTACTATTAAGGAAACTTTCTAGGCTCTGGCATAGCTTATACTTCTCCAATGCATGTCTTTTTGTATCAAATCAAAAAAAAGAATTGATAAATGCTACATTTCTTGGCAATTTTGACTTATTTAGATATACATGATTTATAGACTAAATGGATGCTCAGGCCCAACAGTTATTAATAGTGATTACAATAAAATGTTTATTACAATGAAAGGTTATTAATTTTTACAATTGCTCCTCTCCCAATATCATCAAGACATGGTATTTCGCTCACAGTTTGTGAAAACTGTGGATTTCCAATTTAAATAACCTAATGAATATATTTTGTCATTTAGTTATGATGAATTATAAAAAATAAATGTTTGATTAAAAAATCAAGTTTTATTGAGTTTATTGAGAAAGCAGCAGACATATCCTTTTATTAATGCTTTGACAAATACATTCCTTTAAGTAAGTTTGCAATATGTGTTAAGACAAAACCAAGATCTGAAGACAAGTATAGAATTAATTGTACTTCTGCTTTTGAAGTAAAAGGAACAGAATAGTTTGCTCACACTATGTTAAAATAACCTTTAAAATTATTTTTTACATACATACATACATATATACACATACACTTTGTCCAGTAATACATGTATCTATATAAACCAGGCATGTCAAACTCATGACGTCACATGACATCGCACGACTTACTGGGACTTTTCCATTGCCGGCAATGGGATGGGCGCAGTTTCGGTGTGATGCTATGCCTTATATAAACTTTTCAACACATTCAAAGCTATAAAGTAAAATCTGATCCTTATTTATTCTCTTCAGGGTATAACATTAATCTGCCAATCTGGCCTTTTCACTGTTGATGTTGCAGATATATATACAAGATAGACAATACTTGGTCAGTGGGAATGTTTGTAAGAAGGACCTGTGTGTCCTGGTAAACCACAGATTAAGCATCTGCCAAAACAGCCAGTACAATCTTGACCTATATCTCCAGAGGCGTAAGTGTTAGATCATAGGAGTGATTGTTACACTCCATGCTGCACTGGTGAGACTGCATTAGAATATTATGTTCCATTTTGGGCTACCAAAGTATAAGAAAGATGCTGACAAATTGGAATGTGTGAGCTAACAACCAAAAGAGGATGATAGGGTTGGAGTCCAAATACTAAGAACAACTAGTCCAGAATGCAGTGGAATAGGCCCTCATAACATTTATGCCTCACAAGCACTGGTTAAAGTCAGGTAGCGCCTAAACTAAAATTATTAAATTATTAAAGAACTGGGAATGTTTGGTCTGAAAAAAAGCTAATAGCTGTCTTTGCAATACTTGAACGTATGTCATAGAAGAGAATATGGATTTATTCTTCAAAGCACTGAATAGTATGATAAGAATGAGAGGGAGATCCAAACAGAAATAAGAAGGAATTTCTTTGCTGTGAGAATTCAAATAAAGATTGGAGACTATTTGTTTGAGATGGTATGAGAATTCCTGCCTGCCAAATAGCAGGACTAGAGAATATAGTATAGTATACTATAGTATACTATAGAATATTCTTTGAAGTACACTGGGAATATGCAGAGCTGTAATCCTTTCTGAACACCTTACAAGCATGTTTTAGAGATGGTATCGATAATATGACCTGGAATAGTCATATCTACTGGATAACATTGTCTGTTCCACTCCTTCTCATTTTTTTCTAGTGGTCTATTTCAGCTCCAGAGGTTCTTAATTTGATAAAGATGTGATCCAAATCTCACCGGCTCAAGGTTGACTCAGCCTTCCATTCTTCCGGGGTAGGTAAAATGAGGACCCAGATTGTTGGGGGCAATGTAAATATATATATACATTGCTTACTGGTGTACACCGCGTAGAGAGTGCTTGCACTTAAAGCAGTATATAAGTCTCATAAATAAATAAATAAATAAATCCAAGGAGCTTTTTTTAACAAGTCCAGATGGATTTTAATAAGTCCAAATATTTACTTCATTTGTCTCCAAATGATTCAATAATATGGACCTTATTTCCAGTTTATGGGAAAATGGACTGAAGGAACACATGATTCTTAAAGCAGCTCATTACAACAAGATGAGATTAAATCAAAATGTCAAAATGTGTTCTGAAGTCTGAGGTTCTTCTATCTCAGCTTATTCTAACGGTGTAGTGTCATTTCTAACCTTTTAAAACAGATGGAACATTTATTTTAAGCTTAACAGGATATCCTTAATACAAAAGTAATTCTGTTTGGCAGGCCATTATAAACATGGCAAAAATGCATGTATAATGCAATAAAGATAGTAGAATTAAATTTAGCTCTAATAATTTATCTCAAATAGAAAGATCTATCCATACTTTTTTATATAGTAACTTACCAGTGAAACAGTACGGGTTTCTAAATCTATCACTTTAATTTGATGATTGTTGGTATCTGCAATATAAAGGAATTGCCCTCCATCTTCAACACATAGGCCTCCTGGTTCATTAAAAGTTGACGTGGTGATGCTGGAACCAATTACATTGCTTGCTTCTCCTGTACCTGCTAAAGTGGCACAATTCTTCATTTTAGGATCTACAAATTTAATCTAGAACAAAACAAATAAGACACCTTGTAGAACATAAAGTAATGTTGAACTATTTCTTGAATTTTATGAAGAATGTCCTAATAAATCATATTCCTATTCCTATTTAAAATGACTATGAAGAAGTTATAGTGTTAGGTTGATCTAGAAATTTACAATTAAAAGAAATATATAAGAACAAAGATTGACAAATATCAAAATAATTATCAATGGCAATGCAGTGATATTAGCCTTTGTACTGCTTCATGATTCAAATTAATAATAGCTCCCACTTTTTTGTACATACATAACCACCACACTATTCTGTTTTGGGGTAAGTAACTTTATAATATACAGAAAAGTAGTAAAAAGTAGTGAATAAAATAAAGGCACAGAACAATAGAAAATAAAAGGAAATTTAAACTCAGTTTTCACCAACAATATTCATTATCCTCTTTAGCGTATTTCTGTTCTTAAAAACCATGCTAATTTTCATATTCATGCACTGATTCATACATTGTTTCAGTACTTTACTTTTAAAATATTTTTATTATTTATCATTTAGGTTCTAGTTTAAATATCCTTCTGTATGAACTTACTCTACTATAGTAAATGTCAGAGTAAATGTTTACTCTTATCGATATCTTAGAAATTGTTTAGAGTTTAAGGTGTTTTATTGTCCTTTCCAGATAATGTATTTTCTTTCCTTCCTATCTCATGGCTTTTCATGCTTTATCCTTTTATTATTTTTATGAATCTGATTGTTTTGTTCTAGGTTAGTGATCATAGTAAAGATCATCAACCAACTATCAATCATATATACTTTTGTTTTTTAGTGATAGGCAAGATAGGCCGTGGGAGATGGGGACTGGGACGAAGAGATGCTACCTAGGAAACCATCAGATAAGAGAGTGCATAGCCCACAGCTGGACAATGGAGGGCAAGAGGTTTAGAAGAGACCCTCCCTACTTTCTTGGCCTGTAAAGGAAGATCTGTACTTTCACGCTTGTAAGATTCTGTTAATGTGGCCTTACAAGTAGAATTGCCTCATCAAGTAGTGTTTCCTGTCTGGTCTACCTGGTAAGGCTGATATAATCCTCTCTTTTTAAGGATTCCATCAATTCTATTCAAAAATAACTTTCTCAGTCTTACCCTTCCTCTTAACTATCATTTTTCTGTCATATATAGTTTGAGATTCCAATAAAGGAGAATATTTGTAGTTCCGGGTTAAAATGAAGGACTTTTTCTTGCAGACATTTCATTGCCTAAATTAGGTAACATTATTAGTCCTAGTGCTGATGATGTTACCTAGTTTGGATGATGAAATGTTTGCAAGAAAAGAACTAAGGTCTGAGATTGCATCACATCAGTTTAACATGTTCCTTTGCTGTCTCATTTCTATGGTCAATCCACATTAAGTCAGCACCTATACATTAACTATCTTGTCCTTTCTTGTTTTACCACACATGCTTCTTAAGTAACCCATTACCATTGCATTCAGCGTTTATTTCTTCTCATTCCAAACTCTCACTTCTATATTATAAAGTAGGCAGAAGAACATCCTTATGTACAGTCTTTTTGCTTAGTTTGGATAAACATATATTTCCTTTGACAGGTCACATATTATCCTCTTCTTTTCTAACATTATTTTGACATCTTAAAGTATCTCCATCTATTTACATAAATGTAATATACATTTTACTAAGGAACACGAATTCATCAACTTGCTGTAATGTTTATGGATTAGATTCATAAATGTTACTAGTATAAAATATACAAAGCGGGGATTAAATCATAAAGTAATGGTGACTTTAACCTCTTAAGGGTAGGAACTAGGTTTAGGAGGCTAGATTTTTGCAAGTCAGAAAATGTTGGCTATATCAAACAATCAACAGCTGCCAAGATCCAAGGCTGCAAAACACAAGGTTGCAGGAAAGGTGGAAAAAAGGAACACAGACATTAGCCATAAGAACAGTCTTCCTCTCAAGGTGACAGAAGGTAATCAACTATTTATAGTCATTCCATCCTAGTCCGTGCTGTGTGTCTGGCTAGGCTTTAGTAAGTTGAATCATGGGAGCCTGACACTAACCTTTTTCAGTTTGTTGGATAAAGAATGAAAGAAATATTTTTATCATTTTGACTCCATGTTTACCTGTTACTGAGCAATTGCTAGAACTCATTTGTTCGATTCTAATCTAAGAAACTCTCCTGAGGTACTTTATACAAGTTCAAAACTTGCTTAAAATATAATTTGAAATATGAAATATAAAAAGCAACTGCAATAATACATGCAAACATACAATGAGATGTACCTTTCTGTTCTGCAATACAGGTAGTCCTCAAGTGACAATAATAATTAAGTCCAAAATGTATGATGTTAAGTGAAACATTTATTGAGTTTTGCCCCATTTTACGACTTTTCTTGCCACAATTGTTAACTGAATCATTGCATTTGTAAAATTAGTAACATGCTTGTTAGGTGAATCTAATTTTCCATTGACCTTGCTTGTCAGAAGGTCGCAAAAGGGGATCACATGAACCCAGGACATTGCAACCATCATAAATGAACCAGTTGCCAAGCATCTGAATTTTGATCATGTGACCATGGGGATGCCTACAATGGTCACGTGAAAAATGATTATGTCACTTTTTTTAGTGCTGTTGTAACTTTGAATGGTCACTAAATGAACTATTGTAAGTGGAGGACTACTACAAAGTTTTGTGATACTGAATAATAAACTAGATTTTGTAGTGAAAATGGAGTCTGTAACCTCACCTTATGATTATAGGAATCTGCAACATAAAGGAGACTTCTTTTCTTGTCCCAAGTTAGTCCCAATGGGTGCTGTAGTTTTGCATTCATCCCAGCTCCATCAACATCACCAAAAGCAAATAAATTCTTTAAAAAAATATTTGGAAAGTAACATGATGATTAAATTACATTTTTTTAATTAAAGTTAGCAATAATGAGAATGACTTGCTAAAACATTAACTTGAATTCAAAGTAGATTCATAAAAAACAATTTTTATTGACAAGAAGTGATAATTTGCATTAATCTCAGAACTAACGTACATATATCTATTGGATTATCGCTCTATCCATGAAAAGTGTTACTGTTTTGGACCGGAAGGCTGTGCAGGGAGTGGTGAGGATGACAGAAAAGATTACTGGAAATTAATTTCCTTCTATCCAGGTAGAGGATATAAGTGCTGCTCGACCAGGGTCCGCCGTATTGTCAGAGATTCTACATATCTCTCCATGACTGGTTTTCCTTGTTAGCTTTTGGGAGAGGCTTTGTGGTATCCGAAGCAGAACCATCAGATTATGTAATAGCTTTGCACCATATAGTATCAACCTTGTGAACTCTCGACTCTTTTTTCCTCTATATATTCAAAATCAACTGCGATTTACATACACACACACACAGACACACACACTTACGTTTTGGTGTTATTTTCGTATAATTGGGCATTTTTTGATCCTGCTGCTATTATATTATTATTTTTTTCGAGAGCAGTGTACAGGAATTTTATTTTAATGTGTATCATTGTGTATACAGGAAAATGATAATAAAGGTATTTCAATTCACTTCAATTCAAAATCTTGCCATTTCATACTATCAATTCAGATATCTAAAATAAGAATTTTTACATAGACTGAATTCTGTTTCAAAGGGTTTTTTTGTTGATCTTAGAAATTTGGAATATTCCTTAGCTATCTATAAATGGTAATGTATCTGTTTTTATGGAACAGAATTATAAAAGTGGGGAACTCTTTCAATACCTGTGTTTTGTTGATGTAGAATGAATTGTGCCCTTAATCATGGTTTTCTGTTTTTAAATTATTGTGATTAGTTTGTAAGGTTTTTTATATTCATTTTTAATAATAATAATAATAATAATAATAATAATAATAATAATAATAATAATAATAATAATAGTAATAATAATAATGTTGGAAGGGACCTTGGAGGTCATCTAGTCCTACCACCTGCTTAGTCAGGAAACCCTATTTGTTTCCATTGGATTGTTTTTACTTATGAGCTGCCCAGAATCTTTTAGATAAGATGGGAAACCAATCAAATGAAATCAAATCTCAAAAAAATAATGAAAGAGATTAAACATTCTGATGAAGCACTCAGACTAGCCTTTTGGCTCATCTTCATGATTATAAAACATTGAGACCATTTTTTGATTAAGCTTATTTTTTTTTACTTATGTCTGTCTTTTCATTTCAAAATATTAATGGCTATTTTAAAATATTGTGCTTAAAGATATGAATGGCAAAATCCAACTTTTTGGTAACCAGTAATAAGAGAAGATTGTTTATTATTTAATATAGCAACTATTTTTCCTAAAACAAAATTTGAAAACAAATTTTCATTGTCCCTTCTGGTTTCACAGCAGATATATCTGCTTGCTGGCATGAATCTGATGATTATTATCAGACTAATTCAATCGTACTGAAAGTTAAATCTTTTTTAATGATCTCAATTAACTATTGTAATAACTTACAAATAAAATGTGACCAATTGGCATTTAAAATAAGTTTTCATCCATAGGAATCAGAGATGTTCTAATCTGGATGTATAAGATCAATGGAAAACAGAGAGAAATATACATTTAGTTTACCATTGGATCTCTCTCGCCTCCTACCAGGTGTTTCACTGTGCCATCTTTCAGAGAAATTGTTCGCACAGTACTACTCTCACTATCTGCCACAAAAAGGCAACTCCAGGGATCTTCAGCAGCAACAGAGATACCAGAAGGCTGAGCAAAGCCAGCTTTGTGGGGATATGCATTGTTTCGGTTCTCTTCATTTCCACTTCCAGCAAATCGAAGACAAGTTCCCTTCTTTAAATCGCTTTAAAAAAAGGAGGGGTGGTGAGATTTACATAGGCTCTACATGCACTTGAACTTATAATTTATACAATGTTACATTCAATTTTTTTCATGCTGTGATCAAAAATAAGTTTTCTTTTCCATATTTTTTAAACTATGAAATAATTCAAAATGTATTTTATGCAGAGTTCAGTGAGTATAATATAGGAAGAGAGAGAAGGAAAGGAAGATGGAAGGAGAGGGAGGGGGAGAGGGAAAGATTTCTATAATGTATGTAACACTAACATTTTAAAAAGTTATTTCTTTTATATCCTATTTTTCTCAGCTTACAAAATAGATTTAGTTCATTTTATCTCCATTAATAGCAGCCCTTTCCTAGCGAACCTAATCAAGAAGACAACTTGATTACAGCAGTGATAGATGTACTGGTGGAAGATCTGAAGAGACAGGTCAGGGTACAACATCCAGGATAAGGTCCATATATGTGGTCATTAAGAGTTGACAACAAGCTGTTGGTGCATCATCATCAATGAATCAACCAACCATTGTTTTAATGAAAACAGAATGTGCCCATTCAAATACTCATTATTCCAAATAGTTTGCATTTCTTCCTGAATATACTAAACTAAACTAAACTAAACCTAGACTGAGAAAGTATGTATAACAATATTTAGCAGAGCTATACAATCAAATTATCACCTATTTCTAGGTGGCAAACAAATCTAATACATAAATAGTGTGAACAAATAATATGATCATAGGGTGTTGGCAAAGCAATCTAATATTCTAACTTACCCTCCTTTAGGTAGTTTTCCACTTTCCAACAGGAGTGCCCAGATTTGATGTATACCTGCCATGGCAATCCAGAGAACACTATCTTCATGTGTTGCTGAAACAATAAGAACACGTAGTAAAAATGATAATAAATGATCTTTTGGTAGCAAATTGCTTCATTATTTATATATAAAAATAACTTCAAATTGCTCTGTAATGTTTTTATTCTCAATTTGGATAATTAACATGTTCAATGTATATAATTCCATTTTTATTATACTGTATAAAATGTATACCCACCAAAATTGTGCCTGCATTTTGCAATCTAAATTAATCTAGGCTCTAAATACTAGCTAGGTGCTTAAGAAATTACTGAATTCTAAGTATATTTGAAAAATAAAGTCTAGAGCAATCAATGCCATAAAATATGTACCATTTCCTAAAATGGGAAATGTTTATAATCACTGTGTAATAAATGATAGATCAATGGTGACTGGACAGGGACTGAAGCTCCTTAACAATCTCAACTGATATGAAAGCTAGCAAAGGACTAATATTAATTCTAACTATGATCTGAAACATTTTGTGGCACTGGACTGCTTAACATGGTAGCAGTTTACAATAGTACCAATTGTGTTTATTGTTCTTCTGAGGATCTAATTCAGCAAAGGATTCTATACTGGAAAAATAAAAACATTTTATTTCTACTTCTTTGATTCAGAATTTTGTGGAAATCTCAGAAAAACTTAAGGATCATTTTGAACTCCAAGATGGGTGGCAAATAAATCTGTTATCAACATCATCTTCATCATCCTCATCAAACGTTAACATCTACCTATCCCAGATCCTTGAGAATTAGTCACTAGATAGATAAAAATGTCAAATCCAGTCTAAATATCTGGCTGACTGCAACAAAGAAGAAGAAGAAGAAGAAGAAGAAGAAGAAGAAGAAGAAGAAGAAGAAGAAGAAGAAGAAGAAGAAGAAGAAGAAGAAGAAGAAGAAGAAGAAGAAGAACAACAACAACAACAACAACAACAACAACAACAACAACAGAGTTAGCATGGGGAGATAGAAAAGAATAAAAAATAGCAAAAATTGATTTCATCTAGCAGCCTTAGAGGGTATCTCCAGTAGAGCAAGTTGTTTGTTATGAGCAGAAATCTCCAACTCTACAAAAGTGGTTTAATGAGAAATGTATTTCAGTCTCTTCTTGTTTAAACAAAGATGCTTATCAGGAAACTGTTAATATCGATAAATAAAAGCAAAAAAGGGAAGATGTGGCAAGGAGAGCCTTGACCAATTTTGACTGCTAATTGTTATGCCCCTACCTGAACAAGAATGACTTGAGCACAATAATTCATACTTTCATTACTAACCGGTTGGATTACTGCATAGTTAGACTGCAGTTAACAACTGCCCTGTTTAGCAGCCATTCAAAATTACAATAATCTTGAAAAAGTAACTTTATGATCAGTGCTTGCATTTAGAACTATTGCAAAATCCCTACTTTTTTATGGTCAACTTTCAGACACTTTGTAACTGGTGGGCATTTAAACTGTTGCAGTGTCCCATGGTCAAGTGACCACTATTTGCATTTTACACTGGCGTTCAAAAGAGTCAATAGAAATGCTGGCAGTAAAATTGCAAGTTGCTACCTCATTATGTCTCGTTTAATGACTCACAATGATTCACTTAACAACCAAATGGACGTTTTGCTTAGCAATCATATTACTTAGCAACAAAACTGCTGATCCCAATTATGGCCTCTAAATGAGAACTACCATATTTTCCAGCGTATAAGACAACTGGGCGTATAAGACCCCCGACTTTTGAGAAGATTTTCATGGTTAGAAAGTCATCTTATATGCCAGAAAATATGGTATTTTCTGGCGTATAAGACGACTGGGTGTATAAGACGACCCCTGACTTTTGAGAAGATTTTCATGGTTTAGAAAGTCGTCTTATACGCTGGAAAATACGGTACCTGTAATGAACATCACATGATACAGCTCTTGGATTCAACCCAGAAGCTTCAGCTGGGGCAAAATGCAGTGGATAGATTAATACTGGAATTCCATTTTAATAAAATCATATATGTAAGTACTAATGTCATTGTAAAGGGTACCCCCAAATCAAAGAACTAGTGAGGCCTATATTATGAAGTATTAGGTTATACCAGACACTTCCTTGAATTAGTTCAACCCGGTAAGGTCATGAGAAGGCCTGTTTAGACTTCTCACTCTTGAGATGAGAGCTAAAGATCTACAGACCTCCTCTGCTGTTTCTCCTGTATTTCAGAACATCTTGCCTCCAGAGGTTTGTGAAGACCCTTCCCTCTAGGCATTTTATTCCACCATGTTTTTAACTACCATAAACAATTCTCAATTTATGGACCAGAACTTCCATGGCTAAACAATGCAGTTGTTAAAGGAGTCACTCCTGATTTTATTTTTTTTTGCCATAATCATTAAGCGAATAACCATGGTCATTAATTGAATCACGTAGCTGTTAAGTGAACCTGGCTTCTCCCAGTGACTTTGCTTGTTGGCAGCTCAATCGGCAATCATGTTATCTTAGGATGCTGTAACCATCATAAATACTTCCTGGTTGCCAAATGCCTGAATTTTGATCATGTGACTACAGAGATGCTGTGATAGTTATTAAGTGTGAAGACCAGTCATAAAATCACCTTTTTCAGTGCCGTTGTAACTTTGAACAGACATTAAACAGATGATTACTGAACATGGTTGCTATCTTGATGATTTCTACAACTGTGTGCCTTTGTTTTGATTCAGAAATCCTTGATGTCCTGCAGTACATTTCAGCAACTTAAATTTTTGATTATATCTTATCAATTCCAAAGAATTCCAAAAAGACAAAAACAACTTTGATCAGATATGGCCTACTCTATTAAAATGGCCAAATTTGTGATTTTAAAATCAGAATAAAGTATATTTCTAAATAGAAAGCTAGTTCTTAGAAATACAATTTCCTATTTGCTTTTCCCATGTGATGAGTACAGCAAAGGAAAGAAATCATTATAATTTCTTTTGTGGAAGTAGCCTTAATTTCCAAAGGCTTTGTTGTCCAATAAAAGCAACAAGATTAGGAGTATGGATGGAAAATGATACTGTATTGACGCAATACCATTGTGTGCATGACTTGAATCTTTTAAGAGTTGATGGGTTTCCCTTGTTTGGTCTAAATTATTATAGAGGAAAACATGTATTAATTATACAACACCACACATATGAACTTCTAAGTTTCCTTTTGGAATTTATTTACACTGTACAATTAATAGCTCTGAAAAACCTTTATGACCTCAGTGCTTCCCAAGGGATTCATCATTTCCTGAAAAATAATAATTCCTTTTCTGGGAAAATATTTTAATACATTTAATAGATATAGTAAGTGAACGTTATAAAAGTACAGCGCATTCTGGTGGACACTATTACAAACTGGTACTTGGTCATATAGCTAAAACTATAACAAAAAGTCCTTATTATGATTCAAACATTGCGGATTTTAAAGTTAGCTGGTGAATTTTGGTCATTAACAGAGGCATTCCTTAAAAACAAAACAAAATACATGAACTAATCAATAATGAAATAATAAAATGGTGATTCAAACAGAAATGCCATTATCATCCAATCTACCCTCCAACACATCACATATGACCCAAAGCTCAAGGAAAGAGCCCTATCCTGAAAGCCTTTCTGAAACCTATCAAAAAGATCAGGGCTACCTTTGTAGTCATTAGAACTACTGAAAAGGCATGGCTCCTGGAAAGACCTGGAATATATCTTTCCTGTCAAAATATGTGGGACAGGGAGATACCATAGGGCAGTGATGGCGAACCTTTTAGAGACCGAGTGCCCAAACTGCAAACCAAAACCACTTATGTATCGTTGGGTGCTGGGTGGGCATGGCCCATTGGATGGGCGTAGCCCATTGGGTGGGCATGGCTGCAGTGGTAATGGCAGACTGGGTGGGACTAAGTAGTTCAATCAATCAATTCCAACTTTGCAAGATTTTTTTCCCTGCGTGAAGTTGAAATTGATTGATTGATTGAACCTTTTTTTTTTTTTGCACTAAAGCGAAAAGGTGAAGATCTAGGACTGGGGCGATGGTGCGCGTGCCCATAGAGAGGGCTCTGCGTGCCACCTGTGGCACGCGTGCCATAGGTTCACCACCACTGCCATAGGGAGAAGGCAATCCTATAAGTCAGAGGTCCCAAACCTTTTGGACACCAGGGACTGGTTCCATGGAGAGAGGTTTTTCCGCGGACTGGAAGATGCATGGTTTTGTATGCTGCCTGCATCCTACAGATGGTGCTAGTCTGTGCGGATTGGTTGCTGGCATGCCGTGGTCTGGACCAGTGTTGGGGACCCCTGCTATAAGTAACCCAGTTGTGTGCCATATAAGTCTTTTAAAGATGATATATAGTATCTTGAATTGCACTCAGAAGCCAATTAATGTCCTCAATTAACAACTGTGCGGTCCTGAGATTACAACAGCAACTAGGACTGCTGGGATTGCCATTGCTACTTGATGAGTCATATGGTGTCACGCTTTATGAACGCATCGCTTAGCAATAGAAATTAGACTCCGAATTGCCATCATAACCTGAGAATTATGAAATGGTACTGTCAGAGAAGAAAAAATAAATATTGCTACTGAATTCCTCTAGGCGTTCAAAGGAACTGGCAGTGTATGTCCCTTTCAGGAATATTAATGCATAATCCCAGATAAGGAAGTAGGAACCTGCTGTATTTTTAAAAATTCTTCACAAAATATATTACTACAGCTAGCTTGTAATGAGCTTTTCTTACCCTTCTAAAACCAATTATAGTTTGCAATACTATTACCACATTATCTGCAGAATAAGAGCCAGTTTGGTATAAGGGTAAAGGCATCGTTAGAAACTGTGAGACTGTGAGCCTTAGGCACAAAACCAGTTGGGTGATTTGGGCCAGTCACTTTCTCTGAGTCCTAAGAAGGAAGCAATGGCACTTCTGAAAAACTTTTCCAAGAACAGACAGCAGAACTGAATATATGGAATATATATGGATCCACTGGCCAATGTTGGTTGCTTGAAGTCTTCCTACTTTAAACAATACTAATACGTTAAGTTGAACAATCATTGAACCAAGATATATCTATATTAAACTCCTTAATGGTTTGTACTGTGTCTGATGGTTTCTGCTATGGAATATCTCCATTATCAAGCTGATCATATTTTTAAATAAAACTGAGAAACTCATGCCAATAAACCACTGATAAGCAATCGTAAAAGATTCTGCAATAATATCTATTTATTTTCTGAGAATAAGAAGCAAAAAAATATAGAAAGTAAAAAAGCATTTACTAGGAAAGCACAAGAAGAAGCAAAATTTTCATGGAGGCTGAACAGCTTTCTTATCTAAGAAACAAAAGGGCCAAAGAACGATTAACAAATGAAGCTGCAGCTTTGGAATTTTTACAGAACAATATATTCCTCAATTCTGAGCCCAATCTATTTTAACAACATAATTGCTTGTACAACTTGAGTAAACAATGGATTCATTGTGTTCACAAGCCCCAACAAGACAATGAAACAATGTTTTCTCAAAATTAACTATCTCATATTCTGGAAAAATAAAAAAATTGCAATGGTAGCCTCTAATAGTTCAGAATGATTAGACAAGTTCTACTGAAAGCTCAAACCTGGCTTTGAACTCTTATCACATCAAACTATTATATATAATGGAGTTTGTTAAAATGTCTTGATATGCCAAAACCATAAAATGCCTCTGGGACCTAGCTTGCCCCATTGCAAATAGCTGTATCATGCCATAGATCAATAACTCAATACTGTAATGTCTAATAATCCATATCTGTAAATAACATACAGCCACCAATACCTTAGTTCTAAACAATGATATCCATAAAGATTTAGGTTTATCTGCTGTTCAAACACGTATGAAAAAATGAAATCTACTTCGTTTCTACTTCAAACAAACAAACCACATTACGGCAGATCATTATTTGTAAGTGAAGCATATGATTTTTTTATTGAAAATTATACATTATAAAACTGAGCCAAAACTTTCTTGAAATGATTTTGATGGGTGGGTTGTAGAAATTCATTTTATTACGCAATCTTGAAAATTGGAAAATTAAGAAGAGAATTTAAAGAATTTAAGAATTTAAAAATGAAATTTCCTGTGGAATTTGTTTAGAAGCCAGAATATATTTAATTTATTATATAATAAATAGTGTGTATAAATATGTTATAAATTATTTAAATTTTGAAAACCATATGCCACTGATAATCTTTTTATTTTAGTAGTGTCAATACCAAAGATATAATTTTTAATATATCAAATAATAAGAAAATTACTATTTTTATTTAACTGCAACATTTAATAATAGAAAGACCATAAAAAACACAGGCACAAGAAAACTGATGTTAATCCACCCATATATAATGTTTTAAAATGCATGGAAAAGAATAGTCAAATCCTAAAAGATATTTTCAAATAGCAGGGTCTGCCAAAACTGCTGAGGAAATGACTTTTGTCTGTTCTTTAAGTCATTTTTCAGTTTACACAGAATAAACCCTTGATAAACATTCAGTCTAAACTTGGTTTTTAAAAATTATAATTTTATTTTCCTTCAAAACCTCACTCTAAAGCTGCAGAACTGAATAGTTGTAGAATCAGGCATATTATGCACCAAAGTCCATGAATGTGAAGAGTGATGCTTTCAATCACAAACTGTCTTTTAAAGATACTTATTTACATTAAAGACAAATGTACCTTATTTTTTTTACAAAGCACTTAAATACTGTCATATGTTATGTAGTATATACACTTGCCCCTTTACCAGGATGTTTCCTCATATACAGTGCATATATGCTGCATATTTCAGTATTGTTTACTTAAAATCAGGGCTTTTTTGTCATAGAATGCCCAGAACGGAATTCCGGCACCTTTCTTGGATGGAACCTTGTAGGGTAGGCAAGGCAGATTATATAATGTGTATGAGTTCCGGCACTTTTTTTTTTTTTTACAAAAAAAAAGCACTGCTTAAAATCCTGTATGTTTTGTAGCATTATAGTAACTTTTGCTAGCTATGCACACAAAAGCTTGAATCATAGCTACACTTATAGATCATAACACCAAGGTCTTAGATCTGTGTCTCTCAGAAAGAATGCAGCTATCAAGAACACTTCACACTTCAACCAAAAATGCGTTTAGCACTGTTTGATTTCAATAGCACTGAATAAAAATAGATGAGAATGGAAAGAACATCCTCTGCATGTACATGTTGAAAACCACATAGTCCTTAATAAAGTGGTAAGATGTCAATGCCATTCAAAAGCACTAAAGCTGGAATATTTATTATTTTAAAAACTAAAATATAAGTATTACTATTACATTCAGAAAAATATTAAACTACATACTATATATATTTAAATTGCCTTTGTTACAAAATGAATGCATGTTCCTAAGAAAAAAAATGCTTGTCTTAATGTCTTAAATGAATATACACATGCTGTGATGTCCTAAATATAATTGGAGCTAGACTTTTGGCCTTATGACCATGTACTTTATAGTTTGTACTACCATTTTGTTTAATCTTACTGAAAAAAAGCAATGTAAATATACATTTGGTTGACTGCAATTCTGCCATTCAGGTTTTACATATTACTATTGAAAAAAAGCTGTTTTCTATATACAATACTCCCAAATCCAGAATACATCCTCCTAAAAGTTTCCTTGATTTTGGAACAGCGACTATCAATATACCTAGTCTACTATGTTTTTTACTTAACTAAAAATACAAATTAAAAATACAATTTTTCTAAACTTAATATGCATAATCACATTTAATTTATAACTTGTTAAAACTTAGGTTTTTTTATAATATAAAAATCTACAGATAAATTTTATATGTTACCTAAAACATCTATAAAAGGATAGAAGAGGATATCTATGGAGGTTTTCAGTCATCCAGGTCATAGTTATCCAAAAGATGCTTTTTCACAAGGCAACTGGACTTTCTTGTTCAGCTCTGAAGAGCTGAAGAAGCTTCTTGGATGAGAAGCGAAACATCTTCAAAGAAAAACAAGAAAGTCCAGTTGCCTTGTGAAAAAGCATCTTTGAGATAGAAGAAGATTTATTTCTCTAATAAAATAGTTTGTAAGGAAGATATGGAAGTTATTTACTCACTACCTAGATATACTTAACCACATTGTTGAAAATTATATTAAAATATTAATTAGTTTAGGGGAAATTAGTTTTTGTAATTATACAGATAGTTGTGAAAATAATTTAGTTCCCATTTATTTTCTGTACCTCTAAACAGCCCAATACAGTTCTTTTGACAGTGTAGAACAATTAAATATATGAATATATGAAAACAGAGAAAAATATTACTACTGTAACCTGTATTTCTTAAAACTAATAATTAAAAAGACTCTTGATCATACTGATAAATATATAAACCATATATGCAATAAGCACACGATTATTACAGGGAAAGTTATTCTGGATGGAAGTATGACAATAAATGTAAAATAATGTAAAGTGTTGCCTTTTTCCTAGACTCCTTAAAGATACACTGTTCACTGTGTCCATTTTTGTAGTGTGATTTAGCAGCTATAAACTATACTGGGTTTATTCTTAAATAAGTAAATAAACATTCCTAAATGTTTTGAAAAATAATTATAAATGTAAAGCATTTAACAGCATTTTACTCTTTAGGATTAAGCTGTATTAAATAAAATAGGTCTGAAAGCTTTCTCAAACTTTTCTCCCCTTTCACTTACATATCTGATGACAAAATATTTTGCATTAATATACATGAATCAAATGAATAGTAACCATTTTAGAACAGTAATCTTAAACAACAACCCTCATGAATATACTCTGTTAGTATTAAAACATGAAAAAAATATTCCACATTTTTAACTTTATAATAAATGTAGCAAAATTACTTTAGAATCCGATCTGAATTGGTTACTTGGACCAAAGGTTCTTCCAAGCTTTTGGACTCGTGTTGGAGCCCATCTTCAGGGAACTTCTCAATCTCCAGGATGTGTGCACTGGGCTGTTCTATGCATAGTATTTATGGGTGCCTGTGTGAATGAGCGATTAGACGAGAAGGCCTGCACTCATTGGCAGTCTTACATTGCAATGAACAAGGACATGCATTCAATTTCACAGTTACTAAGATTGTTGGCTAAGCAGGAACAAAAATAGCCAACGAAATGATTGAAGCCTGGGAAACAAGTCTCTTGTCTGTCAAGAGAAGTACTGATTTACCACCAGTTTACCAGTTACTTAGAAGCTGAGACAGCAGCACAAGGAAACAACAATCAATGATTTAATAGCCGGCCATCAACAGCCCAATTAACAACTAAAAGCCATATAAACAACCAGGGTACCATATAAATACTCTGCATAGAACAGCCCACTGCACACATCCTGGAGATTGACAAGTTCCCTGAAGATGAGCTCCAACATGAGTCCAAAAGCTTGGACTCCCGGTGACCAATTCAGATTGGATCCTGCAACATTATCCTGGGACATGTATATTTGCCTTCATTCGCAAAATTATTTTACCACAAGATACAAAATTATATTTTCAATACGCAGGTTTTACATCTGGGCATATAAGTTGAGCACATGAATAAAAAAGAATTGTGATTGCCTTCAACATATACAAATTATTGTAAATGCTGATGAGTCATAATCTTTTGTGCTCATGTGATAAGGGAAGGGATAAGTGGAAGAGAAAAATTAGATAACTGGCAATGGTATTAAGACTACAATCTTTGAAAAAGTAAAGTAAAAAAATAAAAACATCATAAAAATACCTAAGCTTCCCAAAGTTATATCCCATGGTGAACTAATAGGCTGCTCATCTCCTTTGGCTCCTCCTTCCTTATCAGTGCCTTGTATTCCAACTCCTGCAACAGTGCTCACTAACTCCAACCGCAGGTCAATCTAGAATCAATTGTTGATTTATTTTAATAAAAGAGAATACATGTAACTCAGGGTTGATCTGTGGAATTCCTGGCACTCCCTGAGCTTGGTTGTTACTAATTACAAACAAACAAGCTCATAGAGCACCAAGGATTCACATTAATTTATTTTTACAGTTAATATTTAGAATGGCACATCTTTTTATACTGTTAACCATTTTTAGCAAAATATATTTAATACTGTAATATTTATTTTGAATATACTACAATTGTGTAAACAGGGAGAGCTTGTTTGTGTCCTGCTTTATAGTTAGCTACCCGAATAGCACATATCTCTAATTTTGAAATATTTTGTATCTTTGGTGAAGACTTTATGTCTGTCTGCTAGGGATAACAATAGTTTTCTTCAATTACAACATTGGTTTTGTTCATTAATTGAAATAAAATTTATCCCAATTCACTTCTATAGGACTAATCCACAATATAAATTAATGACAAAAAGTTTATGTAAAAAAAATATAGAGCAGTATAAATGAAAAACTGGTTTTTTAAATCTTAACTCTAAGACTAGTGAGTAGACATGGCAACCATTTCAGGTCTTATAACTCAATAACAATAACATGGAAAGTTTGGATGTTTTTACTAACACTACATGACAATTAGAATGATTTCATATATGCAGGATCTAAGTCGGTGGGAGATGATTATCAGCACCAAGATACCAATATTTTGCAATGCTAATGAACTAAGGTTTGATATGCAACATATTAAAAAGTTACCAAATGGTTTCCAATGGGTAGAATATGAATGAGGTACAATGCATATATTGTTCTAGGCAGAGAACAACTGGTTTCTAATGACCTTGTTTAACAACTGCCTCAGAGAGTAACTGTTCACAGTTCTGACAGTGATAAAAAAAGTAACTTTGTCACCAATGTCTTCATCTATGAATAAAAATATATGAAAAAGAGACTTTGCAGTATCGGCTCAGATGTGTTGTTCTATGCCTGAAGAGATTGCCTAAAAATGCTCCTTCTTCTTGTGTTGCTTTTCTCTGCAATGTAGCTCTTTCCTGAAAGATGCTAACTGCAAGTTAACAAACTGAGCTCTGTGATATTAATTAGTTGATTAGAACCCTCCTGCTGCCTGTCTATGACAAGAATGTAATCAATTTCACAATGAAGGCTTTTTGGCTCCTAAGCAGCTCACAGCTGCAAGTGTGCAGTGGATGCTTACTCACTAATAATTTTTTCTTCTCCACTGAGTGTAAATGCAAACATTAATTTCCTTCTTGCTAATTATTTTAGCATTGGGAGAATATTCCAAAGGGTGGGGGAGTGGAAAAAAACACTATTAGATTTGCCATTTTACTCAGCTTGTGTGTGAACATTGTTCACTGTTGGGACTTGCCCCATTGTTTGGAGTCATATCCCTCTGATGCCGTAAAGCAATGGAAAGCTGAAGTAAAATCATAAGCACAGTTGCAGTCATGTGATTTGTCATTTAGTGAGCACTTCATGTAATGGATAAGTTGTTTATCCTAACTGTACTTGCTAAATGAGGATTACCTGCATTTGATAAGTTGCTTTAAAAGTTTATAGAAAAAGAAAAATAATACCTTTTTCTATATACTTGGAATAAAAATATATTTAGGAATACTACTGCTGATCACATTGCTTAGCTCTTGAATAATTATGTCAATTTTGTTTTCTATCATTTAAAAAATCAAGGTAAGGACCAGGTTAGGGCCAGATTGTCTATGTTGTTGCTAAATTGGTACTGACACGATAGAACATAATGAATCAATTTACCTTTCTAATTAGATGGTTTTCTGTATCTGCTACATAAATAATATTGTTCTTTATGGCAACTCCTTGTGGAGAATTGAATGATGCTTCTGAAAAATTTCCATCATTTCTTCCTCTGTCTGATCCTTGAGCAAAAACAACATCAAAGAATATAACTTTTGCTAGAGGTCAACAATGGATACCTAGTCATGTCAGATATATGATGCAAAGGATTTTATATTATATTAATAAGAATAGCAGTACAGCTGTGGGTCTAATCAAATCAAATTTAATAAATATATTTAATATGTTTCACAGAAAACTGTGGAGATTGTCTTACAAAAGTAGAATGTTTAAATTTATACAATGCCTGGTAATATAATCTGTTAAACTTTAAACTTTAATAGACATACAAACACATTCATTGTATCTACAATAATTTCCTTTAAAAATTCAGCTTTCAAAACAAGGAATTGTATAAGTGCAATGCAAAATGGAATGGAATGCCTAGGAAAACATGCAGCCAGCTGTATGCTAGAATAAGTAATTGAATTTCATAGATTCTACTGTTCACATTATTTGCAGTATACCAGCTTCAAGTCTGAAAAATGTGGTATCATTTCCATGATTTTGTGTGGTGATTAGATAATCATTTATTTGGATCTCAATCCATATACATTCAAAGAAGCATTTTGTAGGACTGGAAACTAATTTTAAAATAGTTTATTATGCAATATTAAAGAGTTGTAGAAGACAGAATTCAGGGTTTGCCATGAGAACTGTCAAGATAAAATGCAAGGTTTTAAAATAATTATTTTATTTCAATCATTAATCAACAAAACAAAACAATAAAGTATAAGGTTATAAAATATATTTGGATGACCCTTACCTCCAATGATGTGCAGGATGTGACCATTTTTTTTCACAACCAAAATCCTATGATGTCCAGTATCTGCTATTACCAATGTGTTTTCAGAACTATCTATTGCAATTTTCCCAGGGAACAGCAAAGGTGAAGAAGACAAAGAGTCTCTATATAGCTGTGTTCTAATTCTATTACTATTAATTTGTCCTTGTTCCTTGTAGTATTTTAAGGCTATAGTTGTAAACAGAAATAGTTTGTCCTTGTGCCCTTCGCCAATCAGACTGAATAAGATATTGCCACGAGGTCCAACAATTACCAAGGTTGGCCAACAAGACACTTCTAGCTCATGCCACAGGGTTGCATTAACATCATTTACCACAGGATGAGTGATGTTATATCTAAGAACAGCACTTTTGATGTTATCCAAAACTTTTTCATTTGGAAATTTTGCTGAGTGAACACCTATAATAAGGACACCATCTGAAAGCATAGATTAAGAAACAATGAGATTTATGGCATTTACAATGAAACATTTAAACATCATATACACAAAGCCACATTCAATAAACCTAGTTGAAATACTGTTCTGTTCTGGGATAAGATAAATAGTTATACCATGCATGTTGTCTTCAGAAAGAAAGAACATGAAGAACTTCACTGTAAAATATATATAAGACTGTAATACCAGTAGTATAGATCAAAATGGATCAAAATGCAGTTCTTCCCTGTTGGACTGACTCCTCTAATTCTAATAGATAATTTTTCCTCACCCTGGAAACAGGATGATATAGCATAAGCTGACTTCATATGGGTTATCTCTACTACAATATTCTTAATATGTTATAATCAAAGTAAGCAATTAATTATTCAAAGAATGAGGGACATGGAATTCCAGATGGAAATTAATAGGCTATTCCAATATAATAGAATTTAAAGCTAGACTCAACGTATTTACATCTGCATTTCTATAAGGCAGATATAGTAAAATCCCTGTGGCTAAGCGTATTTGCCCATGTGGGGATGGGAACTGTAATTTTCTCAGACTTATTATTACATTGTAAATTGTACAGGGTCAACCTACACTTGTAAATGGAAAGGCAAAACCGTCCATTTTTTCATATGAGTCATCATTTAGAAGTATATGAAAATATTCTTTAGAATGCTGTAGACTATTTAGGAGAGGGTAGTACTACTTTGATATTTTCATATGAACTGTCAAGAAAGGCATCCAATACTTTAGAATAAATTTCTTGAGTTAAATTGACTTATAACACCATTTTATCTAGCTCAATGCTATCTTGAAGGCAATGAAAACGTTAAGTTTTATACACAATTTTTTTCTACTCATACTGAGGAATTAAATTTGGTGTTTTTGCATGTAAAACAAAGAGCTTCCCAATGGTATTCACAGAGGTTGGTGGTGTCAAAAGAGCAAGATGAAAGTATTCTCTTCAAAGAGCTGCCTTCGTTGTATATTTTGATGTTGTATACACATACCAGGGAATAGGGCCGTAACTGTAATGCCTCAGCTGCCATCCTGCCCACCCTGCCTCTCAAACCCATTGCTCTATTACTGAGCTATCACTTTTTTCTTCATCACAAAAACAGTACTGTAGTGACATTCAGTTGATGTCCCCGGGGGTGCCGGGATACGATTGGGACCTGCTGTATGAATGCATTTATTTTTATTTTTATATTTATTGTTTTAATTTTGTACGCCGCCCTGAGTCCCTAGGGATTGGACGGCATAAAATTTTTATTAATAAATAATAAATAAATAAATTCAGTGAGATGAATAATGAAATCTATAAAAACAGACTTTTATAATGGAAACAAAAGACAAATTGACTTAGTCAAGATTTGGCGCCTATAATTGTTTTAGTTCTGTTTAATTATAATTCTGTTTTTTTTTAATCTTTATTTTTATGATTGCTAGCTGCCTCAAATAATTTGGAAGGAAAACCTGGGAGTATTTCTAACAAACAAATGTATCTTTTCCTGCTTTTTCTTTAAATATGTAACAGCACTTAGGTTTCGATTGCCCCCCCCCCGACATATTCTATGGGTAACACAGAAGAGATCAAGGACTGTTGTAACAAGATTTCTAAATTCATAATAAAACATTAAAATGAGAAAGCCCAAACCTACCGCATCAGCATCAAGAAAGGGAGCAACCTCAATTAAGAGAAAGCAACAAATAAAACTTGGAGTCTGAACATATTATAAAACACCTTTATGGTGATTAACACACTGGACAGCTTATACAATCAACTTCAAAATGACCCCCTACTGTACTTTTTTAAATTAAATTTTGCAAACCAGAAGACTGGATAGCAAAACTGGACAGTTCAGCGGGATGTCTGAGGCTATGATTCTTTGTCTTGTCTCTCAAGGTTATTCTCACAGCCCAGTTTACAAAACAGGATGAGACAGATACAGACAGCAACTGTTATAATTCTCTTCTGAGAAAAGGGAAAGAGAAAAGAAGTCACAGAAATCTTGTTCACCTTTCTATTATGCAGAGTTGACACAATATCACCATAAATAACTTTGTGTTCTGTTAAGAGACAGAATCCTAGATCAAAAGAACTGAGGAAATGATAGGTCTGGTTTCAGTATCCTTTCCCACATACTTAAGTGACTTTTATATTGTATTTAATTTAATTTATTACCCAGTACAACAAATGCTTTTAATAGTTTATTTGGTTTGAATTCAATTGCATTTTTTTCTGCTATAAAAATGATCTGATAAAGAGAGTATCAAGGGTACTGCAATAAATAATAAAACATTTCATTCAATATCTTTTCATTTAAGTTTAAAATAAGAGTTTAAAAAGTTATACAAGGATTTCATAGGAATAAGGATAATATTGCAGTCTGCTTATCATTTTGAAGACATGTAGAAGTCTGCAAGAGTTTCTAAATTATTCTTCCTTCCTCTCCCTATTTTAAGAATTGAAGATAAGTAGCATAATTAATGCAGAGACTGGACTCCTAGAGCTGCTACTATCTGTACTGTATAAATCAGTGGTTCTCAACCTTTCTAATGCCACGACCCCATAATACAGTTCCCCATGTTGTGGTGACCCCCCAACCACTTATACATCACCAGGTGCCAGGGACGTGGCCAAAGAAAAGGGGAAAAAAATGGCGGACAGCCTTGTTTGGCGACCCCCGTGAAATGGTCGTTCGACCCCAAATGGGGTCCCGACCTACATGTTGAGAACCACTGGTATAAATAGAATTTAGTCTTACTGCATAAGTGAGAGTTGTTATTATTATATTAGTTTACTTTTGCTAAATAGCCAAAAGTGATGCTATTTGGTTAGAGTACATGTGCACTGAAATGAAGAAATAATAGCAATAGCACTTAAAACTTATTTATTGCTTCATAAATATTTACAGCCCTCTGTTAAGTGGTTTACAGAGTCAGAATATTGTTTCCAACAATCTGGTTCCTCATTTTACCAACCTCAGAAGGACGGAAGGCTGAGTCAACCATGAGCAGGTCACAATCGAACTGCTGGCAGTCAGCAGAGTTAGCGTGCAATACTGCATTGTAATCACTGCACCGCCATAACATAATAACAATGACACTAAATATATCTATTAAAATCTGCAACAGAAATGGCAATGAGATATCACAAAACACCAAATTTTATCATTTCTACAAATAAGGATGCAACAGAAAATGTAGCATGTCATTAATCAATATGCAATACATTCATGTCTTAAACTGCTACCATATTAATATAATTTTGCTACTAAAATGGAATCTTCTAGATCTATCCCTATTTCTCCTGCTTGTATTTTCATCTGAAAGGTAAGGAAAACTTCACAATTGTTTCAATGCATTGTAAAGAAATAGACAAAAAAAGAGAATGAAGGAAAAATCATGTTGTGTGTTCTGATTTTATATAGGCAATAATCTAGACACTAACAATTTGTATTTAGGCAAATCAATTTGAGTAGAATATGTTTTCTATTTAAAAAGAAAAGTAAGCTATATTTTAAGACAATTTCATTGACAACAGAGAGAAAAGAGTAAAATACTACACAGCAAAATTCTAGAACCAGGCTAGATTTAAAACTGGCTCTATCCCAAAGTATTTCTGTCAAGAAGCATTTCTTCATACAGCAGCCCAACAGGTCATTTCCAGACTATCGATGTGATAAGAATGTGCATTAGGTTTTAAAATAACCTTGTGAATACCATTATGAACACAGAAATAGCCCTAGCAAGGATAAGACAGGAAAGCATTAGACAAATATTGTTGGCATTAATTCCTGTGGATCTTTCACTAGTTGATTGTTGGTACATGAAGGAAGATAAGGTTGAGGCATCAAGCTGGCTCTAGCTCATGAATGTGGAGTGTAGTAAAATGAGAGGCAGAGCCTAAAGAAGGGAATCAGCCTAGAGTTGTTTTGTTCCCACAGTCAAAGTCCAATCTCTCTTGAAATCTGTTATCTATCTTTGAACAAAGTATTGACTGGTTAATACCTTTATCAGAGTACTTCTCCTCTAAATCATGAAGATCAGGCAAAATATGGATGCAATTGATGCAGCAGTAGGTGAAGAAATCTAATACCACTACTTTCCCACAAAGATGTTTGTATAAAGAAAGTGAGCCTTCAGTATTCAGCCATTGTAAATCTGAAATCAAAGCTCTAATTAGTACATTGTTTTAAGGCATTAAAAGAATTAAGCACATTCTGAAATAACAATTGATGGATCATATTTTTTTTTAAAAAAAATCATGGATTTCTAACACAAAAATATTCTTAATATTCAAAATCTGTAATTCTTCATAACTCTCAAGCAGTTAATCTAAAAATATACTGTTTATTATTCTGACCATTTAATAAATAATTTAATAAAATAAAACTACTCAATTTAATGTTAAAATAGTATAATTTTTTGAAGACAAGAATTCATTTACAAAGTTTATAATTACCAATTTCTAATTATAAATCATAGCACAGATGACATATGTTACAACAATATCAATGTTTTGTTTTCCTATCTGCTTCATCAACTATTATTCAATATATGAGATTAGGCACAGAACTATCATTAGCACCTTTGTTGAAACAACAAAAGAAGTCTCAAGCGTTTTCAAAAATATTTTTTTTGAAATACATGCAATAAACTCTTTTCAATACAAAGGAATATACTGAAATGATTTCAATGTTTAGAGAAAAAATATGAGGAGTGAATTACAAAACAATATATGAAAGAAGAGTGAATGATTGAGATGAAGGAGGAGACTTTAAAAAGAGGTGGCTTGATGGAGTTGATGCATTATTCAGAGAAAGATAGTAGAAAAATTTAAAGTACAGGTAATGTGTAAAGCAATAAAACAGAAGCAAGGATGATTTGTGAGTAGAAATTTTTATGCAAATAGTAAATTATATCTCTTTTACTTGACCCTTTCCTACTGCTGAAACTACTGCTTTTCTCTCAATGTGTAGAAGATCAAACAGCTAGCTCTCTTGAAATTTCCTTTCTCTCCAATCTCTCCATCCTGTGATGAGGATGGGGAGAAAAAAAACCAAGCAATTTTTGTAGGCAATCTCTCTTTTGCTTGACCCTTTCCTGCTGCCGGTGCAATTACATTACTCTTGATGTATAGAAAATCAAACATCTTACACTTAATTCTTAATTTATGACAGTCATTGTGATTGCTTTTACTAAGTGATGCAATCAAAAAGTGGAACATTACATGACTGCATTGCTTATTGATGGCAATCCAGGCAGTTGCAGTTGTCATAATACCAAAACATGTAGGTCATTAAGTGGAAAGTGAAGAAGGTTCCAGAGAAGGAGTATGAGGGTGTCACTTGGGGGACAGGAGATCCTGGGAGGCTCAGTGCAGGCTGTGTACAAGTTGAGGAGGAAAACTCAGAAAGGCTGGGAAAGAGGATATGTAGCGCATGAAAGTATGAGTGCAAGACAGGGAGATTAGAGAAAAAGGGTGTGGAAGTTGAGCATACATGCAAATGCAAGGAGGCCAGGGAAGGAGTGTGCTAGTGGGTACAAACTAGCAAAGAATGGCTGGGGATAGAGGAGGAGAGACTTACCCAAGGATTTGTAACCTTCCCTACTGGCTTACCTTCTTGACTTTGTTGTGAGAAACCAGACCAAATATAAGTGTAAGCTGCTTGCCAACACCCAATTTTTTTTCACATGACTGCAGAGGTGCTGCCACAGCTGCAACTTTGAGGACCGGTCATAAGTCTCTTCATTCAGTACTGTCATAATTTCAAACAGTCATTGAATGCATGGTCATAACTTGAGGACTACTTGTACTCTCTTAAAATCTCTTCCTCTCTAATCTCTCCATTCTGAGGAAGGGGACAAGGATGGGTCAGGCAAAGGAGAAATTTTCTACACAAATTGCTTTGTTTCGCCTCTTCTTGCAGAGTGAAGAGATTAAAAAGATTTCAAGAGAGTACTATAATCTGTTTCCATAATGCACCTGTGGGTCTCAGAGTGATGGTGCGATTACATTGATTTCACTATGTATAAAAGCAAACAATTTATTCTCTTGAAATCTCTTTCTCTCCTATCTCTGCTTGATATATGTGTGTCAAAAGTGATTTCAATAAGAAATCTCTCCTTTACCTGACCTTTTCCCCATCCAAGAAAAGAGCAGAGAGATTGGAGAGGAAGAGTATAGGTATCTGAAATGGTATAGGATTTCCTGCCTGAGTAGGGGGTTGGACTAGATGATCTTCAAGGTGTCTTCCAATGTTATTATTATTGTTGTTGTTGTTGTTATAAGATTACAAGAGAGAACATTGTTTGCTCACACACACATTTGAAGCAATGAAGAAATAACTTTCTTTCCCCCCTCACCTGCAGAGCTTACAAATTAAAAAGAAAGGGATATCAAAAGAATAAGATGTCTGTGTAGTGAGCCCTTGGTTCCCAGCCCAGGCTCTAACTTGATCGCATTGCTTTTTATGTGCACAAGACACTAAATAGGTACTCAATATTCCAAAGGGTGGGGTAATAGTTGAGGAAACGAAAGACAAAGGTGTAAAACTCAGTAGTCTTTTCTCTTTCCAGCCCATAAAACATAGTTTGTCAAATTATCTATGGCAGAGATCCCCAACCTTTTGGGCACCAGGGACCGGTTCCATGAAGAGAGGTTTTTCCATGGACTAGAGGGGGTGTGGTTTTGTGCGCTACCTGCATCTCGCGGATGGGGCTTTGCGTGTTTGTGCGGCCCGGTTGCTGGCATGCCACGGCCCTGGTACTGATCCACGGACTGGGGGTTGGGGATCCCTGATCTATGGCATAGATCAGTAGTTCTCAACCTGTGATCTGCAAACTCCTGGAGAGGTGTGTGTAATGTCATCACATGGGGTCTGCAAAGACTTGAAGAAATTTATAATTTAAATCTTGGTTAAGTCTTCAGGATCCACGGCCATGATCTGTGGCCAAAAAAGGTATTTAAAAGGGGTCCGTAGTGAAGAAAAGGTTGAGAACCACTAGGATAGATGATATGATATAAAGATGGATCCTACATGTTAAATGTTACATTTATTTGATCACATTTTTCTTTTTTTGTACAGTTTTTTTCTTTTTTGTTGTTGCTAGTGTTGAGTGTATGTTTATTTTGTTTTGTATTTTTATGATAAAACAATATATAAAAAACATTTTATTAATCATTTGTATGATGAAACTGAAAGAATGCTTATGATACAAATTGTGTATAAGACCACCAGTGCTGTAGAAGAAAAAAAACCCTGAAATTCAAAACAGTAATGATAGGCTGCAAAAATAGGCTTAAAAATAACTCAACGAAAATTAATAGAACAAAATCTAATACACTATATGAAGGAAACATACACCAAACGCCAAAGTACAATTTTGAGGCCTTGTGTAAAAGTATAGCAATGGTAGATCATTACAAAGCAAATATGTGCTAATGGTGAGATGACTGAATTAAAAAAAAAAAGCATACACAATTTCAGACTGCATCAACAGAAGAAGTTTCCAAATTGTGGTAAATAATACTTTTATGCTGCTTAGTAAACATAATTCTGAAGGATCCATGGTACTCTCTGAGTTGGTTGCTTTCTTGTAGACATTTCATTACCCAAACTAGGTAAAATCATCAGTGCTAGTAAGAAATGGGGTTTGCTCTCAATTTATATTCTAGTCAGTTGCCCAGTCAAGTGTTGGTGGGGTTGGTCTTAGAGGTTCTTTGGTTGAGTTGTTTACTGTTGCTTGGATACTGTTTACTTCTTGATTGTTGGGACCATTCCTTACCAGCACTGATGTTACCTAGTTTGAGTAATGAAACGTCTGCAAGAAAACAACCAAGCTGCTCAGAGAGCACCAAGGACCCCTCCTTTCAACCCTGAGCTACAAATATTCTCCTTTGACAAACACAATTCTTTAAAAAGGATTCAGAGAAATCAGAATGAGAGCAACGAGAAGATCAGGGGATATGATGCCGACTACAAAACACGCCTTTTAAAATCATAATAAACTCGCCCGGGAAGAGAGAAAAGCTATAAGTTGAGAAGCAGGAGAAAACTAAGGAAAAAGTTTGACGGCTCTTGCAAAGAAATCAATCACCAGAGGACGCCGATCTAAAAGCTCGGGCTCACCTGCTCCAAACTCGGGAACTTTCAAATCCCGCTCCCATCCGTCCACCTTCTTCACGTGCTGATACACCAAGTTCTCCTTCTCTTGAAGCGTGTTCGCATCCTCCAGTGCGTACTCCAACTGGCTCTGCGAAGGCGAAAGACCGGGCAGGCCGCCCATCATCGCCGCCATCGCTCTCCCCTCCTTACCCTGCCGAGGACACAAGAAAGCGGGCGTGATTTTACCGCCCTTCCCTTTGGCTTCCGGCACTTTCCAAACTCAAGTCTGTCCAGTCATGTTGCAAAACCAAACCAAACCCCCACACCCTGAATGTTTAAATCCTGTCGCCCTCGTGCCAAATAAAACTTCGGACCAAAGATGGGTTATTACTCCCTTGTGGTTGCCACAACGCTTTCCAAAAAGTACAAGAAATCGCATATTCGACAACAGATACCCAGCGGTCTGGGATTTTTTTTTCTTTCACTTTCACAGATTCGCCAGAAACAAATCTGAATCTGCTGGCTAAATAAGTGTAGGAATGTTTTTCTGAAAGATATTAAAATAGTATTTTTTAAAAACATATTTTGGCGAAAAGGCAGGGGGGTTATTTGTGGTGAAAGTGCGGAACTCGTCGGAACGATACAGGAGAAGGAAGGGAAGGGCCGCCAAGGAGGAATGAAATCGGTGGCGGCGGCTGGACCTTTTTAAGATGTGAGAGATTTGGGAATGGGGCTGCTTCATAAGTGGAAGAAACCTGCTGAGGTAACGTGGTGCCATTATTACTCTGACTTAAGGGACGATAGCTCGCTTGGATGGAGAGGCCATTCATTTCGATGCCAGTATAGTCCAAAGGTCATGATCATATTTAATATACGCGGATTACCGAAATGTACCACCTAATCCACGAGGCTGAAATTCTGCCCACATATCCTGGGATCAAAATTAAACAGACTAAACTAATGACTTATGATACAAATTGTGTATAAGACCACCAGTGCTGTAGTGTGTTATGGAAACACACCACAGGGCTAAACGTTTTGTTGAATACAATGCGATTTAGTTACAAGTTAAGATTTGCAGGGAACTCCGAGAGAGAAACTTGGGAGACGCCCGCCCTTGCTCTAGTATGGCCTGGCAAGCAGTCGCTAAGGACATGCCCTCACACCAGAACCTGGATCAAAGAGATTGAGCAGGAAAGTAGTGTTTGCCAGTGCAATAATATACATTTCTTCCATATAAATTTTCTGATCAGCATGGAGGCAGAGCTGGAGACAGGTCAGCAGTGCAGGGATTTAGCTGCTCCACTGCAGGACTAACCACTCCCGGTCCAGCCACAGGGATTGTTACTTCTCTGGCCATTTCTTTTGGCTGCTGGACAGCAGAGAGACTTATTGGGCAATGAACTGATTCTTTTCTCCACGCATTGAAGGTATTCCACATAGTTCTTCTTACTAAGGCTTTATTAGTATCACTTTATAAAGCCTTAGTAAGACCACACCCGGAATACTGCATCCAGTTTTGGTCACCAGATTACAAAAAAGATGTTGAGACTTTGGAAAAAATGCAAAGAAGAGCAACTAAGATGATTAAAAGTCTGGAGACTAAAACATGAAGAAAGGTTGCAGGATTTGGGTTTGACTAGTCTAGAGAAAAGAAAGACTAAGGGGGACATGATAGCAGTATTCCAGTATTTAAGAGGTTGCCACAAAGAGGAGGGAGTCAATTTACTTACCAAAGTGCCTGAAGGCAGGACAAGAAACAATGGATGGAAACTAATCAAGGAGAGAAGCAACCTGGAATTGAGAAACTTCCTAACAGGATAATTAACCAGTGGAACAGCTTGCCATCAGAAATTGTAGGTGTTTCATTACTAGAGGTTTTAAAGAAGAGACTGGACAGTCACTTGTCTGAAATGGTATAGGGTCTCCTGCTTGAGCAGGGGGTTGGACTAGAAGACTTCCAGCTCTATTCTGATTGAAGTTGTTTTCCATTGTAACATCTGACATCTTCCACAATGGCAACTGGATGTGCCATTGCAGGGATTCCTATGGAGAAGCATGAAAGAGGCAAGCAGCAGAAAAGGGGAAGATTTCACTCCTTTCCTGCATCTTCCCCAGCACAACAGAGGAAATGTTTCCCTTGCAGCAACTTGTGCAGCCTTGTTTTCAAAGCAAGACAAGGCAGAACCATTGGAATAGCAGCTGTTTTCCACTTTCTTTCTGCCTTTAAGGGAGGAGAAAAGCCCTTGGTGTTCTCCCCAGCACGAGGAAGTTTTTCAAATCAAAGATACTGTAGACCAGGGGTCAAACTGCCGGCCCGCGGGCCGGATGCGTCACACAGAAGCCACGTCCACCCCATTGCCAGCAATTACAAAACAGTCCCGATGACGTCGTGAATTTGACATGTCTGCTGTAGATGATATTACATTTATGACATGACTTGTATTGGGAGAATATGGGAAGAAAGCGGAGAAGAGGGAAAATACTGTTTTGCTTTTCTGAGACCAACCTTAAAGCTAAAAGTATGCTTGGAGATATTATCTGTTGGAAGATGTTATAAAATGAAGTGACAATGCAGTGTTTATTGAAAAGTATTTGAAATTTAGTTACTGTTTTTCAGTTCAGAGAATCAATAGGAAACATGATCCTTTGTGTTTTTAGAATATTTAGAATAATTTTTAAATGAACTGTTGAAGGAATTCTGTTTTATTTTTATTATTTGTATTTCAGGATGACAGATGAAGAAAAGAAGTCGGTGGAACAGTTTTACGTTTTTCTAGTCAAATTTCCCCAAAATAAGAGAGTTCAAAACTGGCCTCATGGCTAGAATTGTAGATTCTTATCTAAGTGCACTTTAATATTTGAAATGTCAATCATTGCACTTGAACGTTAAACTGTATCTGTATTTGTAACATTTATATGAATGGGATAGCATGATGTTTAATATGGCAATTGATACTTATTATTTTAAAGTATAGTAAAATAATACAACTGAATTAAAGGAAGTATTTTTCCTAAAGAAGATATTTCCTTCATTGATGGATTGTCATGTCTGAAGATGGCCTTTTGGAGGAAGACATTTGGAAATATAAATCTATTAGGAAGCAAAAGCCTACAAGCCAACATTCAGAAGTAATTGCTACCCAAGTACAAAAAGCAAAGATTGAAAATGGTAAATCACAAAGAAATGACAATAGACATGGTGGGAAAGCACCCAAAAGAAAAGGTGTCCCTAAGAAGACAAAGCAAAGTCCAAGACAAAGAGGTAGCCAGACCCCCTTAAAGCCAGAGGTTTCCATTGGTGATCCTATTAAACCATCACAGGAAGGTCTGTCAACAACTTTGGCAAAAGAAACAAAAATCTGTGAGAGGCAAAACACTACAAAAGCTAGACCAATTTTCGAGGGGTACTGCCCAAGTTGTCAAATGCCATTTTCTTTATTGTTGATACAGACACCTCAGTGGCATGTTACAGAATGTTTGGATGCCTCCGGGACTGCTGAGAAAGGTACAGTTTTAATGGGAAGCAAGGACTCTTCTACTTTAATTTTGAAAACAGGTTATGTTCCTTTAAGAAGTAAACAATATATTCTTGTCATGCAATTCAGCATCTGAAAAACATTGACTAGTTTTCAATCTTTTGATTAACCAGAGGCCGGGGCTAAGAAAATGGCAGCCATATATTCAAACAAATCTTGCTAGTCTTTGAATTAATTCTAAAAACAAGCTAGATTTTTGAAATTGTAGTTGAACTACAGTTTTAAGGCATGAATTAAAAACATGTATCAAATTTTAAAGAACGAAATCCTGTACAAGAGGTCTGGTGAGTAAAGAAAGGCTATGATGCAATTATTTTTTTTACAGAGTATAGCTTACCAAATTAAAAATAATTGCAGATAATTTTCAGTAAAATAAAACTATTTGGTTCCAACTGCTATTATTTGAATTTGAAAACTTTCATTTAATACCCCCTCTCCCCCACAGCCTATTGAAGTTTATTAGCAAAGATTGGCTAAACATGATGTGTGCATCTAGTCAAGTAATTCAGGAAAAGTAAACATTTATACCCATTTGAACTCTTTTCGCTACAAATTGTGTTATGTTTCCATCAGATATTGTATTAGAAGTTTTGCATTCTAATATATAAATTCAGTTTGAGGAAATAAAGGTACAATATAAAAAGTTGTCTGCATTAGCCATGTTTTTTTTAAAGTATAACTTTCAGGATTTTAATATTTTTTCAGTAAATCTTGTTTTTGCATTTGTGCTATATTCAAAACATTTTCCTAATACTTTTTTTCTTCTTTTGTTAGAATGTCCTGATGGCATTTTGTGCTCTTCAGTCATTCCTTCTCATTACAAACGCTATAGCCATTTCCAACTTGCAGCAAGTAGAGCACAGGACTGTATCTTTGCATCCTCCTTATCTAGTACAGAAAATAATTTCATTAGACCTGGTGCTGCTTTACATAATGAATTCAGTTGTAGAGAATTACAGGATGTGAAGGTTACTCAGAATATGGAAAAATCAAAACAGTTTCTTCTACAACCACAACTGAGTTCAATGACTATGGATTCCATCAATATAACTAACATCATGTCTTCATCTTTGGGAAATATTAAAGAATCTGAACATACAATACAGCATATAGATGAAACAAAGCAATCTGAATGCCTTAATCCTTTTTCTGAAGAAACTGAAAGAACTGAGAAATTAAACAGTCAACTTTGCTCTTTTCAACAGAATACCTCTCTCTCAGATGCTGATATGAATGATAGTGACATTTCCTATTCCCCACTTTATACTGATGAAAATGCTGTAGAATTAGATGAGGCAGATAAGGAAGAAGTGGAGAGAAAGGGAGAGATAACATGTAAAAAAAATCTATTTGATACCAGAAATTTGGAAAGCCAAAGTAGAATTGTTGGAAGTTTATCTAATAGATCGCAGCAGATACAACTTCAACATAAGAGTGTTAAAATGATGCAAGATGGAACAACGATCAATGAATCCTCTACAATTTTACCAGCAAGTGTGAATGGATTACCTAAGGCTCTCCCACAAGAAAGCATGCATAACAGCACTGACTGTTCAGCAAGGTTTCTTGATCAGACGAAATGTCCCATAGGAGATTTAAATTCAAGAAAAACTAAGGATAAGCGTGACTGGCTTAAAGTGAACTCTTCTCATTTTAATGCAGATGATTGTGGGCAGGGCAATTTTAATGATAGTTATTGGTGTTCTGCAGATTCTGCTATTAAGGATCTCATGCTTTCTTCAAAAGAGCCTCTGCAATCATTCCAGTTAGATCAAAGTGAAGTAGAAAAGTTCAATAACTTAGATGTTAAAGCTAAGACTATTATTAACACATGCGGAAATAGAGCACTTCAGAGCAATTTGTGTTCAATGAAAGAAAAAAAGGAAATAGTT